GCTCTGACTGTAATGAAAACAGAAGAGAAACATTTTGCTGAAATGTGCGCGGCATATTTTATTCATGTTGAACAGCAGTAGAACAGTTCAAATAAAGTCAGCACACTTAGAGAATAATTATTTTAACTGCTATCCTGTAAAGGGAATACTGCTGATGAAAAGCAACTTATTTGTTTAAAGTGTAAAGTTGTGTATAAATGCAAACCAAATGTTATTGCACTTTTGATCATATAGCAGTACTTTTTGTTTAAAGTGCGCAATACACTACTTTTGAATTCAATATGGAAAAAGATTTTAATCGTTGCCCACCACTCCTTTTTACACTATCTTGTTAAATTGTGAAACATTTCACATTATAATCTAAAAATATAGGTTATTACGTTATAACAAAATAAACAAGAGATTGTATGTTGTAATAACATAAAATGTTATGACGCAATACTGATCTGTTTCTCTTTTTCTGGCGTGGCAGCAATACCGTAAAATACTGAAACACATAGTAAATATCCTTATCTTCTCCCAAGTCACAATGCTTTGTCTGCTTGTGCAGGACATCACTAAAGTGCATCAGAGTGACACAGACACAGTATCATGCCAGACAGGCTTGTAATGGTTGACAGTACCTGCCTGTTAATAAGTAAGAAACTGATGAACCACTCTACTGTCACAACAAGAAAATACAGGTTCAAACATTTGGTCACAAACCTGGAAATATACAGTATTTGCAAAAGTTGCCTTTTTTAAAAAAAACAAGCAAACACAAATGAAACACCTAGAATGCACTACAGTAGAGTAAGATATGTATCACAATCTGTGTTAATAGTGTTTTTGAATAAAATGACATAGATTGAGGGACCAAGTGATTAAGGGAGACCAAACAATTCCCACCATGAGCAAGCACTTGGCGACAGCGGCAAGGAAAAACTGCCTAGGTAACTTTTATAAAAATTACTTTTTGTCATATTTGCTGAAACTTAAACTATATCCTGACAGTAGTAAATGAGAGGTTTTTTTTTTGGAAAAGGTTATGTTGCTTTGCCCACAACTCACACATCATAAGAATTAGTCCAGGTTGAAAACAACAGAATGTGAGCATTTTGAGTACCATCATATTAATATTATTAATATCAAAAGTATAAAAAATAAGATAATGGCTTAATAATTTGTGCTTTTTTACCACAGTATGGAGCTGGTTTAAGTAGAAAGGAGTAGCACTGCTAAAACATCATCAGTGAACATGTGGTGTGAGTGCAGGTTCTAGCAGTTGCTAGCACCATGCTAGCACTCTGGCAGCTCTGTCATTATACCGGCTATAGAAACACCATGACAACTGCATACTTTCTTCTGCATGGGGATATAACACTGCAGTCTATTGATACTGCAAAAAGTTCCATTGTTCACTTAATTGCTTAATACTGACAAATAGCTAAAATTCTTTTGGGTAAGGCTGATATTCCAAAGCCCACAATATCTGTACAGAACCTACTGCAGAATTTCAGAATCATTTATGTGAATCCCATCCCCCTTTGAGACCCACCGGGTGATCACATGTGCTCTGGGTGGCTCTGCAGGCAGGAGATCATCTCTTGAACCGGCTTCCCCTCAAAACAAATCTGATAGACTGCTGTGAACAGAGGGAACCTAGAGAGGATGGATACATTCAGACAGGACAGTGAAGAGATGGATACAGTTAGACAAGATAGTGGAAGAGAATGGGAGGAGCAGACATTAGAAGCATGATTAAACATGTGCTGTGTTGAGGCCTCACCCACTTTAAAAGGTTATATGCATCGAAATGATAATCAGTATCATGAGACAGATAATCTGTGAAAAAATATTGTTCCTTTTAGTGCTCCTAATGGAATTTGTATAAATCCAGAGTACGTGTAAGAAAACAACTAATCAGAGCCGAGAAAGAGTTGATTGTTGAGTCTCTTTCCCAGGTGATCAAATACAGACAGTGGGAATGAGATTATTATCTTCAAGTCATCAACATAGTCTCTTTCTATCTTTTCTGGCTCTCATTAGTTGTTTTCTTTCATGTTTGGTGGATTCTTGCATGAACACCATTGGGAGAACTAGGAGTCAGAAAGCTGATTTCTTGGCTTTACAGGGATTTGTTGTACCTGTGAACTAGCCTGGCAATCAGTGGAGAAGCTGTACAGCAGTTGGATAAACTGTTGTTTAGTAAGAAATAGTCCCAGCAGTAACTGGTAAAACAAGACGACCTGTGTTTTTTACACTTCTGATATGCGTTAATGGATCAGCACACACACAGACCAAGGCTACAAAAGTTCTCACTTCATGAATTAACACACAGAGATGACATTTTATATTTTTTATAGTCTAAACATTACTGGAGAAATGGTCTAAAATGACAAACACAACACCCTCAAATACCAAAAAGACCTGGACAGACAGATAAAGTTTTATACAAACTTTTCCAGAAGGCCCTTCTGTTTGAGGATGTGGTAAACCTCAGCTGCAGTGGCAGGACCCTGGAGCTTCTGACCATTCAACATCTCTTTCTCCAGCTGTTCAATGCTCTGAGTGGTTGAGAAAATCAGATAATACAAATTCATAAGAAAGTAGTCAGTCAAAGTAGGTTCCATATGTAAGATTTTAAAAGCATTTTACCCATTACTTTAATGCATGAGTCACTTTTTATTGCCAACAAGTGAACGGGTTTTGAAGCAACGTAAAAAATTAGATTCTCACGACTTTCTCAGCTGCCAGTGAACTGATTTATCTGTTTTCTATGCAGGGATATGGAAATGACATTTACTTGCACGCTCTATCGCCTTCTCTCTCTGCGTTCCTACAGTGTACAGTGCAACACTAGCTAATGTTAGCTTATAAATTGAGTCCATTATGTTTACAATTGACCAACACCCACCACAACACAGGGTCCAACAGAAAGTCCAAAATCAAAGATAACATTAAAGCTAAATGCAGCGATGAACAGGCCCTTGCACTCCACGCAACTCTGGGTGGGGTGTGCTACGGCCGTGTCACGTGCCGGCGTGACACGTGCGGACCACAAAATGAAAATTTCACGTAAATCAGATCAAAATCGGCACACATTGCTTATTTCCTGTTGCCAGTAGGTGGCGCCATCACTATGTCTGTAATAGTCAGATATCCATGTAGACATGTTCAGGGCGGGACTCTTATCAAATGTGAAGTTTCGTTGAGATCATGTACAAGTTATGACAACTTCCTTTTTCATGGCGAATCGTCGGAATTGGATGCCACGCCACGGGCACGCCGTTTGATGGAATTTCGTAAACAGCACAACTTTTAATCATGTCTTTAGATTGGGCTTAAATTTGAAGTCGATCCGATAAATTCCCTAAGAGGAGTTAGTTTAAATCGCAAAATGACCACGAAGTTCAAAATAGCCGACTTCCTGTTGGGTTTGGGTTATGGGTCCAAGAGGCTTTAATGCTTGTCCCATCATGGTACACATGCGAACCAATTTTCGTACATGTTGGTCATATGTGTTTTGGGGGCTGATTCTGGGGGGCATGGCTAAGCCATTTTGCGACGCCCAGCTATGCGACCAAGACAATAAGTTAGCGTTTACTTACAGATACAATAGGGCCTTTGCACGGTCAGTGCTTGGGCCCTAATTACTGCAAACCTTGTGAGATATACTCTGATACTGTGGTTTTAGCTGGCTAACATTAACTTGCTTACTGTCGATGTTACCAACGCGGACAAATTGCTGCCTGGTTACCATAGCAAAATATCAGCCTAAGCTAAGCTGGGGTTGTACATCTGGCTGTGTCCTGGCTGTGGGGGGTGGGTCTGGCATTAGTTGCTCTGTGGTGTTGGCTGTGTCACTGTGGACATTGTTTAATAGCAACAGCAGAGAAACAGCAAAGAGAGAATGGAGGTCCATTAGATCCACCAGTATGTCCCTTCACTGGTGACGGTGCACCTACCTTCCCCGTTTTAGAGAAGGCCTCTGCCACTCGTCGGTTTCGGCCACCATAGCATGTAGTGATGAGGTCAGCCACACCGCAGCTCTCTAGAAAGGTTGCTGTGGAGATAGAGCCGTTCTTAGAGAAGAGTTTAGCGAAGGCTATCATCTCCATCAGCCCCAGACGGATCACAGCCGCCTTGGTGTTGTCACCACACCGCATCCCATCACAGAAGCCTGCCCCCACTGCGACAATATTCTGATACGAACATGAAGACAAAGAGCACATAAATTCACATACAGTAAACCTGAAAGCATCCATAACTTAACAATGACTTGGGACAGTGTTCACTAGTTCACCATTAGATATAATATAATAATAATATATCATATTCTGCAATTTTCTTAAAACTACATTGACCTTCATATACTCCGATGAAGGTCAGATAGACTGAAAGCTTTTAAATAAAGGGGTATACTGAAAGTATAGAGTGCTGAAATCTTCACTTTCAGTTTGGACACACTTCCAGCACCTTAGCAAAGCTTTAGCCAGGTTGAGCAGTTGTCATCCTGCATCCTTACAACACCTACCAGCAGCATTGACTATACTGGACATTTAAAGCCCCGCTCCTGTCAAAAATCAGTGTCTTGTTCCTACAGTGTGATGTTTGAATGATGTATGTGCAGACTTTGAGAAATGAGGTTCTCTATCAAAGTATCAGTTCTCCCATTGAGTTGCAACCTCTTGTATGGAGACAAAGATGTCTCTCCAACTCACGTAGCCAGTAAACTAGTTTAAAGGTTCTCCTATGAGGCTATGATGACTGTCCTATGTTGCAGAGAAGACAATTATGTTGATATGAAAATCATGTCTCTCTTATTTCTCTGTCACTTCTCCTCACTACTGTACGCAAATAGACTTTGTACTGACCCAGAGGTTGGTTCAACCTCCAGTATATTTTAATGAAACTCCAGTAAGCCACACCACTGTCGCTGTTCCCATAACCGAGGTCTCCTTCCTTCTTGGCGTAGCCAGTGGTTGGATTTGCAGCTGATTAGAGTTTCCCTATACCGATGGTTATCAATTCAGTATCCACTCACGTTGCTGGGTGAGAGAATTATCGCTCTGTCGACATACACCTTAGGTAGATAAATGTAAAATATTTAATTCCTTTGGTAGAAAAATCTACTTATATTACAAGAGGCTACAATACAGGTCGTAATTCTACTATCAGTTATGTTAACAACAACTATTGTAAACTGGTAAAACACACACGGCTGCATCATTTCAAATGTTTAGATTCCATTACTAGTAACTTATTGACATTGGAAACATTTATTTTTTTCAAGAACAGTCATCGCAAGTACACTGACAAAACTGAACTGCATTTTTCTGATTGCATTCTGTGGATCTTGTGCAAACTTATACCTAACTGGTTGTGGTAATCCAGATCACTCGAATAGAGAAAGTCATCTACAGCGAATCTACCACACGAACGTTCGATTTCACAACACAGGACCACGTATCAACACTCAACAAAGAAACTGCTGATGCAGTTGTGTTTGACATTCTTTAGTCATAATTCCCTCAGTATATCACGTTTAATCATCTTAAATTGGAAGTTCATCCTATTGTCTCTTTCATATTCCTTTCATTTAGTCTTATCAAGCTTTATAGCTGATGGTAACCGACTTTGTGGTAGGGCATTCACTTGGAATTGTCCTGAAGTGTGATTCTCATTGTAACAAAATCAATTGATTCCAACAGTTGGTACGCACTCTCTACTAGTTGCTGACTGGGTGAGAGTGAGAGAGCTGACAGTTCATTGCCAGACATACAGAAGCCAACATCAGACGAGTGTATACGGTCTATTGCCAAACCGGCTCGAATAACCATTGGGCTGTAAATACCATCGTCTTGTTGTCTGTCATCGTCTCGCGGTCTTTTCACTGATCGTCATCAGCTCATGTTACTATTAATTTATTGATTGCTACTGTTTGTGCTGTACAGTTGTCTGTCTCTCCGTGCTGGTTTCTCTCTCCTCCTCTCTCCCCCCAGACTGCTCAACGCATGACACCCAACCCTACGAGCCGAAGGGTCTGCTCCTTAGGTTCTCGTGTTAAAAGGCATTTGTTTCCTTGCCCCGCTGCGCCGAA